TGCACTAAACTAAGATTGACATGGATTAAAGATCTAAATATTAAGACAGAAACACTAAACTTGCTGGAAGATAAGTTAGGTGGAACTCTTGGAGATATTGGCATAGGAAAAGACTTTATGAACAAAACCTCAATAGCATGGGAACTAGCAGAAAAATCAACAACTGGGATTTCATCACATTAAAAAGCTTTTGCACTACAAGAGAAACTACCATCAGAGCTAAGAGACAACCTACAATGTGAGAAAAAAATTTTGACAGCTGTAACTCAGACAAAGGGCTACTGTCTAGAATATATAAAGAACTTAAAAAAATCAGACCCCCTAAATTCAAAGACCCAATTCAAAAATGGGCATCTGAAGTGAACAGACATTTCTCAGACACAGAAGTAAAAGCAGCAAAGAAACATATGAAAAAATGTTCAACATCACTGTTCATTTGAGAGATGCATATGAAAAGAACACTGAGAGTCCACCTCACCCCAGAAAGGGTGGCTGCTATCAAGAAATCAATCAATAACAAATGCTGGTGGGGGTGTGGGAGAAATGAACCCTTCTCCATTGTTAGTGGGAGTACAGACTGGTGCAACTACTATGGAAATTAGTATGGAGATACCTCAAAGAAGTAGGGCTGGAGGTCCCATTTGTCCCAGCTCTTCTCCTCCTGGGTATTTTCCCAAAAGAATTAAAAGAATCATACCACAGAGATATATGTGCACCCATGCTTCTAGTGGCCCAGTTTGTAATAGCTAAAGCTTGGAAACAGCCCAAGTGCCCAACAGCTGGAAACTGGATAAAGAAGATTTTTTTTTTTATAAAATGGAGTAATACTCAGCCATAAAGAAAGAGAAACTAGAGTCATTTATAACTAAATGGATGCGTATTGAGGCCATTCTCTTAAGTGAAAGAAATAGGACACACGTGTAAATACTGAATAGTTTCTGTAGTGTGAGAAACAGAGAGTGTAAATAAGGATTAAAAGGTTTAATAACTAATAATTGATAATTTGATATAGGAAAAGGTCCAAAGGTTTAGGGGTGGTGGGAGGAGATGGGGAAAGGAAAGAATGGAAAGGAAAAATTATGAGAAAAGAAAAAAAATGGAAACAAAGTCTATGTAAACAGGGCAGGTTGGAGGGGTAAAGAGTGCACAGGCAATGGGGGAAAAATAAGAACTAAGATACATCATGTACAGGTACAAGCACCCAATGATAAATGTAAGC